TGATTCATTAATGTTGAATTCTCTCGCAGCTGCTCTATTCCCATGTTGTTGCAGTATATTAATAACTAACCTCGTATTGTGGATGAATAATCTCAGTTGTTCTCCTGACTGAAGTTTGGCCCGTGTATAGCATCCTGCTATGCGATTGCATTTGTCCCTAACCACCAGAATCCCTCACGTTAACTTTTGATTATGTTACGGAAGTGGAGGAAGCGCAGTTTTTGGCTTTCCCCATATTTCAAAAGTGCTTCATCTCTTTGCCATGACTGACGCCCGGCATAATTTGCAGATGATGGTTGTAGCCGCTGCGATGCTTTCGACCAAAACAGGTGCAGCTTGATGACATCATCAACATGCGCTATCACAATAGAGCAATATAGTCAAAATCTCTATCGTTGGCCAAATTGATATAGTTTCTATCGTATATCGTTTACATCGCCCACCCCTAGTCTGGAGATAGACAAAAATTGTCATACCCAGATGAGAGGAAATTGGTTAGGATGTTCAGGAATTACCCCGGAACCCACAAGGCTGAAGTCTGCCATCAACTGGAAACTGCTGGAACACAGCATAGAGAGGGTGCCAACCAAGAAAAGAAGACCTTCGAGCTTGACTGAAATTAGCAAAGACAAACCAAATTCCTCCTGGATAAAAGTTTTATGGTCAGATGAGACAAAGTTGTCAAGCATGGTGTTAGTAGCATCATGCTCTGGGGTTGTTTTGCTGCTACTGGTACTTAAACATTACATAAAGTGCAGTACTGGAGAAGGAGGACTACCTCCAGACTCTTCAACTTCATCGCAAATCAACAGCTAGACAGCTGGAACTTGGACACATTTGGGTATTGCAACAAACATAAATCATTAGAATGGATGAAGCAAGCTACCATTATGGAACGGCTTCACAAAGCCCCAACCTTTCCACACTGGGATAAGAACATTTTAAAACATGCCCAAACTACAATGGCATTCATGCCTATGACTACAGCTCTAATAAATTTGACTGTGTCAATGGTTAAATGATAAATAAGTGAATTTTAAGTGGTTTAACAAACAAAACATTCCTGTGAAAATGGTGAGGTACAAAGAATTGCCTGAAAATGAGTGAAAAATCAGTACTATTATATGTGGTGAAAACACCACTTTTAAAGCATCCCCACCTCTTTTAATGTCTCACAGGAGCAGCACAGAAATTGTCACAGCCCATCTCAGTTTTCATCACTATATTCTCTCAGCAGAAAAGAGGATTGGATTTAAGCTATCTATAGCACCTTTGCAATCTCCTGGCAGCCTATACACACTTTCACTCATTGTCGTGTGTGCTATCCCACTGATAAGCCTGTATCTAACCTTACATATACACAATGGCTCCTTTACAAATTAATCACATAAAAAATATAATAAAATTGTTGAAGCCTGCGGCTGGTCCATATATCATTTTAAGAGTGGGGAGAGTGGAGGTTTGGGTGTGTGGGTGAACCTCAGAAATTATTCCAAGAAGAGCAGGCATGAGACACACTGGCCCAGCTTTTTGATTCATTTAAAGGTCTCAGAACTTACTCTGTATTGCCCAGGGGAGAGTTAGGCTGCTGAATAATGGATGCAAAACAAGGAAGACACTTTAAATGTGAGACTTCTTGTACTAATAATCAGAGTGATGCAGTGGCAGAGACTGTCTAAGAAAGCAAAAATTACACTGTTCTGTCCGCACTCTCCCTCGAGCCATTACAGATATAAGCATGTTTGAAAGAAATTTCTACATATGACAGGATGCATTTAATTGATTGTTGTATATCTGAAAGCTGACACGGTTTTCATAAAGAAATTTAGTTGTTTCTTGGAAGCTTATGCATTGTAAAACTTTATCTTGAAACTTGAGGCCAGGGCTATTTCTGTATGTGGGAAATTGCCCAGGGAAAAAGTTTACTGTCAACACCTCCATTGGAACAGGGAACACTTTATATTTAGCACTTTGATTTCAAAATACTCCCTGACAAAAAGGTTAGAACAGAAATTGAAGAAGTCATTTATAATAGGCAATGATTAAAATGATACTCTTTGAATACAAAGACGTACAGGCATCTTTTAAACACAAGAAAAGAGAAATTAAACACACCATCGTGTCTCCTATTAATAACATATGCTTGCAAGTATTGAGCAAATTTGAGGAATGAGATATAACTACATACATCAAATGCTTCTAATTTATTAATTTATCAGAATGTACTGCATAAATCTGTTTAACACACTACATTTAGTCCCATATTGTAAGATCAAAATATATACATATATACACATATATACATATATACATGTATATATGTGTATATATGTATACAGGCAGTGAGAACTGATAAAGATCTCGCTAAACAGCAAAATGTTTTGCTGTTATTTTTTATCAGCAAAATATTCTCATTTGAATTTATAGGCAGAGCTTTCGGCTATCAGGCTCCACTCCTGTGTAGCCAGCTCTCACTTTGAGTTCATGAAACAGACACCATCTCTCCTTTTAAGATCAGGTTTAAAAGTTTCCTTTCAGCTTAAGATTGTAGTGAGGGCTCCTTCAGGTGACCCTGAACCAAGCCTTAGTTATGCTGCTACAACCTCAGGCTGTTGGGGGAGCATCTATACGCCACTGTTCCATCACATTAACTTGTGTCCACTTTCTCCTGTAGCTGTTTGTTATATCTCTATGCTCTTATTCCCATTAAGCCCAAAACCATGAGATGACTGCTGCTGTGAACTGGGACTAAGTAATTTGTATGGAGGGAGGAAATGTTTGAAATCAGTCAGCTTAGTATGAATTAACCAGGATGTTTATTTTTAGGTTTCTAATAAGATCATAATTGTATTCATATTTCAATTCAATTCAATATTATTTACACAGCGCCAAATCACAACAACAGTCACCTCAAGGCGCTTTATATTGTACGACAGACCGTACAACAATACACACAGAGAAAAACCCAACAATCACATGACCCCCTATGAGCAGCACTTTGACGACAGTGGGAAGGAAAAACTCCTTTTTAACAGGAAGAAACCTCCAGCAGAACCAGGCCCAGGGAGGGGCGGGGCCATCTGCTGCAATCCGTTGGGGTGAGAAACATATCTCAGAAACACGTTTAAGATTTCACAGTGAGCTCACTTATTTAACCAAAAGTAAAAAAACAACAGTCCACTATTGTGTTTGCATTGTTTACTTTTTGAGTTTTGTGTGTTTTATTTATACACGTTCCCGTCAATCAGAACTTATTATCATGTTGCTTTTGCACTTATGATGTTGTTTCAAGAAAACAATCAGGTTCACTTTTATCACACTGCACTGTGCATTGCACTGTTCGGGGCGGCACCGCCAGCTCAGCAACTTGTGTAGACACAAGCAAGCAGGCAAAACAGGAGGATATAAAGATCTTCACCAATTTTCTAAAATAAGTAGAATAAAAAAAAAAACCCCAAAACAAAACACTGCGGATGAAGAATAATAATAAAAAAACCAAAAACAAATCAGACTACATCAGAAGTATTTCCAGGGGGCACTATGGCGGACGAGGACGGAGCACGCTGGTTTAGAATTGTGACTCATGATGTTGCTAAAGTTGGCTATTTATTAGTAGTTTTTTCTTTGTTTACAACAACTTTATGAGTCATAAACTGGTAATACGAAGAATGTCCTCACCATGTCCATTACATCATTTTTGTGTTATCAGGATGTTGTTCTTTTTTTTAATACTGTTTATGTGTTGTCAAAATAGTGAAGCTGTTTCATATAATAAGGTTAGTGTTAAACAAGGTTGTTGTTATTAGTATTTTTTAAAATGCGCTTTAGTTTATCTGAAGTAGACGTACATATCATGAACACTAACTTGTTACACAGTGTACACAGAGGATTTATTAGCCTTCCTCTCAGCAATAATCATTAGCACTTTGTGCAAGAAGAGAAATGTAAGAAATACATTAGATGTGGGCTGTTTATCTATTTTAGATTAAATAAGTAAATAAGATTATTATTATATTAGACTTAAGTTAAAATGAACAATAACAGGCGACTAATGAACAAGGTCTGCATATAAATGTGATTTTAGAGGGTATCCATCTAAAACCTTTCTCTGCTGAAGGCAGCTATGGTGAGGTGGGCATTAGCTAAGGCTGAGAGTGAAAGTTACAGATGCGACTTTTGCCTTTCTCTGTTTCTGGAGGCTCATTTTGCTTTTAGTTGTGAAATAAAACAAATTGATGGCCGGTTACAAATTTCACTCTGTTCAGAGGGAACACCAAATATACCAGACGATTAAGGCTGCGTCCACACTAGCCTGGATAGATTTACGTCTGAAAACGCTCCGCGTCCACACTACTCGTTTTCACAGAGTTGTGCGTCCACATTGAAATGGCTGAAAACGCTTACGTTCCAGTACTGCGCATGTGTGAAGCACAAGAAGATTCGGCTTGCTCATTTATGTCTGCCGCTTACTTACTTTCTGGCAAAATGTTGAGGAAAAGCACCGAGTTTTTTAAATGGACTAACAATGAGGTGGAGTTGATGCTGCGAGTAACACAAAAGTACAAAGTCGCAAAAGCGAGTGAGAATAAAAGAATTTGAAGAAAAGCTCTCTGGAGCATCTACAGACTGATATTAATCTTTAATAGGACTGCCCTCCACTATCTTGGTTTAACTGGTCACATGACTGCATCACATGAGTAAAATGTGTCATAATTTTGAAAAGGTCAGTTTTCACTGTCGGTGCTTCCGCGTCTTTAAATGTATTCATTTTCGACAGCGTTGTGCAAACGCTGCGTTTTCCTTGAGTGTGGATGGGAGGCCAAAACGGAGAGAAACCAAGTGTACAAAGCCTAATGGATACAGCTACGACAAGCAGCTTCACATTGTGGCAAATTACTCCGTAACTAAACTAAATCAGACTTCAAAAGCCTTCAAATACAGTTTTTTTCTTACAAAAAGCCTAAATTTACTGTAAGTCAAAGAAAAAAAAACAAAAAGAAGACTAGACTTAAACAAAATGTTGTTGTAGGCATATTCTGAAAGATGATAACTAATGTAAAAATAACAATAATCTATATTTTGTTGTTTTTTAGAATGTAATTGTAAAATACAATGATTTTCATATCATTTCAACCTTCTAATTAATCTGAGCTTTTATAGCAAAGCCTGACATATCTCAAGAGCAGCAGCATTTTATGTAACAGGTCATAATTATAACTGTATTAATATCAGCTCTCTTCAGGACTTCACCCGTCCAATGGAAGTCATGAAGAGAGCTGATCAATAAGTTCACTGCTAGTTAATATTTCCACTCAAAGCTGTGAGAAGAGCTGGTAGTTCGGCCTCGGCTCACCTGTCTCAGGGTCACACTGATGCTCGCAGGGATCCAGGAGGCGTCGTCCACACAGCTCGTTCACCCACGGCCCGCTGGCATTCTGCTGATAGTACAACAAAATCTGGGCCGGGTTGAGCCAGTCTGAAGCATCCAACTGGCTCCCCTGGAGCAAAATGAACCTTGACCCTGGGTAGGACAGAGGAAATGGAAGACACGGAAGAGAAGGGAACAGGAAAGAAATGTGAAATGGATAAGATGGTTGAAAAGGAGGACAAAGGTAATTGACGGGTAACGAAAAGATGACAGGAATGGAGACGGGGGGAGGGTGAAAAAGCAGGGATGAATGAGAAGGAACGAAAAACAGAACAGGACACATAAAAAAGCCTGACTTTGAACAAAATCTTCAAAGCAAATTATCATATTTATCATGTTTTTTTACCACTTATTTCTTTATATTTTCTATCATTTCTAAAACCATTTAACAACAACAGCAAAAAGACAAGGTTACAGCACATATTGGACCTTACAAGTGAAATATCTTCAGCTAAATATAATGACAGCAAGCACCACCTTTTAGTGAGGCAGTTTCTACGAGAGAAAAACAAATTAGGAAACCTTAAAATTTAATTTTTTGAAAAGAAAATGTGATTAAAAAATACCAGATTTAAAATGAAGTGGATCTGGGAAGAACATGAAAGCTTTATAAGACATTACTTGTTATTTTTAGTTTAAGAGCCATAGTGCAAACATGAAAGCTGCAAAATTGAAAAGCAAAACTTGTGATCACTCAGAAAGATTTAAACAGAGGAATATCCATAATCACACAAATAACATGTGTAAGGCATGATCAGCTGGATTTCCAAATGTACCTTGACGAGGTTGATGGTCCTGGCTGATTGAACCACATAACTATAACTGGGTGGGCAGTGAAAAACATTTGATTCTTGCTGTTTTTGTTGTTTTTTTTCTATTATTACTGTGGAGAAAATAGAAGCAGTGAGGGCAGAACTGGCATCTTCACCAAAACAACACATTCTGAAATCTTTAATTGTAAGAAAGATCTTTGCTACTTGAAATCGCATAAAGGTGACTGCTGCTGTGATTTCATGCCATAAAAAATTAATAGTTATTCATGACTATATATTTGCTTACAAACTGTATAGAGTAAATGCTGATGCAATACAGCATTTACAGTGCATTATATTATGTCAGTGAAAGCCAAATTGAAACAACAAAAACAGTTTTTGAACCAAGGTCTCAGGGTTTTTGTAAATCGATTGTTATAGCTGTCAAATTCATAACATTTAACATAATTCCGTGCTGTGCATCTCATCTCTATCACTCACATTGTTCAGTGTTTGTTTCTTTTATTTTAACAAAGTATGGCTGTCTGTGAAACAAATGTTCCCCGACCCTGAGAAGTCCTCCGCAGTGCTCCTCTTTCTTATTAGTGGTTGTTATGACACAAACAAAGCATCAGCTCAACGCTTTCTCTGTAATAATAAATGCATAATAATGATTATTGGCACGACTATGGGCCGACACGTAATTCTGAAAAGGTTAAAGATGAGAGCGTGCAGCTGTAAATGAGTTACAGTCGCGTTGTTTGTTTTCTATGTAAATTTCAAAGTTTGTGCATCTGATCAGTGGAAGTAAAACTGTTGAGCACTGGGCTAACATTCTGTTGCCATAATGCAGGATAATGAGGCGAGGACTGCCGTTGTTACTGCTGCTGTTTAATTTCAAACCTTTCTACTTATGCTTTAATTACCTCGTGGTTGAAAGCTGCAGCACACAACTTCCCTCTTAAAAGGTATAATCAATTAGTTCCATTGAATACACTTAAAGACTGAGGTCTCCGGGGGTTTACAGCTCAAATGCTGTAAACTAAAGGGAGCTCGTATGCAAAATGTTTTCTACTGAGTTTGTGACTGCCTGGGAAAACAAAAGCACTCTTCCATGTTCCAGGACACCTGACACAGGAGGTGTCTCTGGAACACTTGGTTCTGAGAGTTATCCGCTGTGTGATCTCCGTAAATTAGCAACAACGCTCACTGACCAAAGCACTGTCCATTTGCAAACACGGGTTGCACTGGGCATTTGCTAACCCAAGCATATTTAATGACTTGTTGGCAGGCTCTGTGTGCCCTAGTTAGCGCCGTCCTCTTTGATGATTCCCTTAGAACTAGAGCACACACTGCAAATGGCTGGACTCGTCCTGTTAGCTTAATTGTGGAGAGTCATAAAACTGCCTGGAAAAACTCTGAAGACACCAGCAGTGTTTCTGTTTTTATGACACTTTTTATGTTCTATTTGAGTTTTCTGGCAACTATGTATGCACTTTTGAAAGATGAAATGGATTTCTGTGTATAACATAAATGCTTTATATATGGTCTAATATACAATGAAGAATTCATTTATCAAAATAAGAAACTGTAGCCATCTTAATTGAGACATTCATCACATCGTGATGTTTGACTCTCACAGGGAGCCACGTAGGCCTGAACGGACTCCGAGACCAGAATTATTAACGTGAGCACCAGACTTAAGAGCAGAATGAATCGCCTGTGTGCAGCTCTTTGGTCACGCTTTAAATAGAGCAGTTATGTTGCGTTACTTTGTGCAAGTACATCACAAGTACAAAGAAAGATGGTGCTGGATTGCCATCCTCCAAAACCTTGGAATTTCTATATAAAAAAAAAGGCATGTTTAAAGGCTAGCACACTTAACATTACATTAAAATTTCACTCATTTGTGCCTATGTGCACTTTCATTGCTAGAATGGCAGTAGACTCTTGGTCTACTACTTGGTACTTTGCGCTTAACTTTTTGGATGTTTGCCTTCAAATTTCCCGAGGTTGACTCAAATGCCCAGGATCTGATGGATAAATATCTATAATGGCAGCATAATGGCAGCAGAGGCATGACCGGTAACATGAATCCCCAGCCACTACTCGGATGGGACTCTAGGCCACAGCATCGCTCCTTGAGATAGCTTCAGATGTAATTGGGAAACCTCTCACAGGAGGCACAGATGGTAAAAGTAAATCTATTTCCAGCAAATACAATCTGAGATGATAAACGTCAGCCACCTTTCTATTCCCGACTCTCCGAGTTAGTGATAGGAAGAAAAAGTTGGCCCTGTTCTTTGTTATGTATCTTGAAAAGCAGTAGATATTGTTATCCCACGTAACTACACAAACATCTTCAGATGATTACTTTCCCAGACGTGAAAGGCAAGGAGAAAGGTGTGACTCTATATTTTGGTACTTTTCTTTCAATATTTGAAGTCAGACACATGTGCAGCTGTTGGCATTAATAGCTTCTTTCCACAGCGGTGGAATCCAGATTTTCATCTGATTCACCGTGACATCAAATCAAGTCTGATGAGACTGTGGAGACATTTATGGAAACATCCTAAATCGATCGCAGTTTTGTAATTCAACAGGCGAATTCGCCATCTTTCATCTCTCCTTTCAAAGTTCCCTCCCTCGATGCCTCCCTGGAATTTTAATATCACTGGCAGGCCAGCGTGTACCACCGGAAAGCAGCAGCGTTTCAAATCAAATCAGACCTCTAGATGATAGATGAGCAAGCCTAGTCACAGTCTATAATATATCTGGACTGCCAGCTCACTTCAGTGACAGCTGAAAAATGCCAACGAGCCAGCAGGAGCCAACACTTGGCTCCCGTGGTGCTATTTTTTCTTTGCAGGTACTACATTGAAATTCATTAGCGAGGTGGTTCAACATATCAGAAAGTACCAGGGGAAGCGCGATGGAGGTTTGGCTGTGGGTGGTCATTGCGACCTAGCAACGATGCGCTCCGATGCTTTGAGGGCACATCTGTTGTGCGCTGCGACATGGGAAACCCAGGCAGAGGGTGGTCGACCTGGCATTTACCTTTGTCTTCGAGAGAGCAAAGCAAATCAGCAGCTCGACCACAAAGCACAGGCACTCGGTTAGCGAGATATAGTGGGCCGAACTCCCCGGAGAGTGACGAGGAAATGCAAGCTCAGCGCTCCCTGGGGATGTGCTTGGGAAAAGGCTGCATCCACAGTCCGTGGCTGGTGTAAGGCCTTACCATCAGCAATGAGGTGCTCCGGAACATGTAAGATTACCCGGACTGAGAGGCTGCAGGAGAGGTGAGAGGAGTAAACCAGGCCAATCACGCAGCTGATGACACTGATCAGAGTCAGGGTGGTCTTATTGATGGGGCTCCGTGGGGAACCTGCTGCTAGAAAGAAATGAGAGAGGGGGGGAGGAAGAAAAAGAAAGAGTAGAGAACTGTGAAGCAGATACCACACTTTTCCCCAAGAACCCCTCCATCAATACATGCACACTGTCACACAAACATGTACACACAATGGCTACACAGGGAGTCATTTTACAGTTATTTTACAAACAAGCAAACAAAGACAAAAAACCCCAACAACATGGGCCTAAACCCATAACAAGGTCGTTAGGATCCAAACCCTCAAGCCTCTGGGAAGTTGACACAAGGCACGGCTCAGTGGCACAGAAATACAGTTTACCTACGAAGGGTTTTAACATCCACGCTGGAATGTGTGGAGTGAAAAAAGAGAGAGGTTGTTCTTCAAACCTTCCCTCTTTCCTCCACTTTCCTTTGCCCCCCCTCCCCCGAAAGTGAGAACTCTCCCCTTATCGCTTTTGCTCCCCAGTGCAATGCAGAAAGTGTCAAAACTGACCCCACACCCACGCATACGTGCACATACACACAGAAAAATATCACAGTGACCTTGAATGTAGTCACGCAGGCTTTGTTTAAAGTGCCTCGTTTTTCACTAGCTGAATAACTCTAGATCCCATTGTCACTTTTAAATTACTCTGGCAGAACTTTTTCATTCAAAAAATGCCCAAGGCAATCCTTTAAACAAAAGCCAAAGTAGAAAGCTGACCTATCGCAAAATGTTTAAAGCTAGTTTATTTAATCAAGTAACTTACCCAGAAACTGGATGCAGGGCAGAATTTCACCCCTTTGACTTCCCTTTCAGTTATTTTTCAGATTTTACAAAACCTCTCTTCAGGGCACATTTCTGCCTTCTATATGAAAGAGGGGAATGTCTCATTCTTCACATCCTTCTCTCAAAATTTTCTATACATGAAAAACAACTTTTGTCATGCCACATGAGTCATCCTCTGCATCTAAACAACATAGTTCTATTCTTAAAGCTCAGTCTAATTAAAGGTGTTGGCTACACTTCTGGAGGCTTTGCTGTGTTTGTGACACCTGTGCACATGACGGGGGAATAATTGGCTTGGAGGCATCGTAACAGCTTGTAACGCCTTCCGACAGCAGCTATTATTTTGAGGCCAGTGTCACATTTTTTTACTTGAAAAAAGAAATCTTCTCTGTCTCTTTTCCACACCCCATTACTGTACATCAAAGTTGCAAGGACATGGCATGCTGACATATAAAGCATGCTGCACCACTTCACTATGACAGCATTTGCAGAGGATCCTGCTTAGAAATAATATTTGTGTGGAATATTATTTCAAAATAAGATGTTCTTTGGGTTGTAGATGCAACTAATGCCAAAATATTCTGTACTGAGGACCTCTGATCTCATCATCTTGTTTGATTTCCGTCAACAAGATTATATTCGGATGCACTGAGATCAGTTTCACATGCTCACAACCACTCTACACACACCTATGTATATCCACAGCATGTGCTTCCCTTGGGAGTCAAACTGATGAGCACATACAACACCAGAGCCATCCGCTATATGCACTGTAAAGGTGACTTGTCATGCGTCGTGGCGATGGTAATACCATCAGACGGCGAGATTAACTGTCTGTAGGTGTATGAGTCCTCCTTACCCCCTGAGCCCCACGCGCTGTTGGCATTACCATTTCTCATACCTCGACTCCGGCGGCGACTGCGGTTTGGGTCGGTGTAAAAGGCCAGCTGAGGCTCGCTGTCTGCCTCCGTCCCAGAGTCCCCGTCTGGGTTCAAGAATGTTGAACCCGCTGTTGGATTCACACAAAAAATACAAAAGAGTTCTGGACCAGTGGTGGGGAATTTGTCCTCAAGTTAGCTTCACAGAGATGGCAGGAAAAAGCCAAAACTCACGATCAACCCACTGCTGGACGACTTCTTCTTCTTCTATCATCTACTGATGTGTCGGCTCATTTGTAATAAAAATCAAGCTGCAACTTTGAGCACTGTGTTTTCCAGTTTTTCTTTAAAATACTGTGTTTAGTTTTTATTTTTTCCCCCAACTGACACATTTTGAATTAGCCACATCCATGAAACAGCACATTAAAAAGAGTGCATGCTGGCTCGATCTGAATAAAATACTGATGTCACCTGTGTTAAACAATCAGAAGTGCATGTTTGAGTTTGAGACTACTGACTATTGTTTTAGCCTCTACTTTCATTTTTACTGTTGTGCAGTTTGATATTATTGGTGCTTGTCAGATATTAAGATTTGAAAAGTACACAGACGTATCAGGTGAGTTTCTAAAATTTCTAAAATCAGGTAAATCTAACTCCAGATGAACAACAATACACATCACTATTTATTTAACACGAATTAAGCCAAAATGTAGAAGCAGCATATGTGCAAATTTAAGGGTAACTAGCTGCAAATCAAATGAACTAGATGAACTGATCAGTGAGCATGAGCACCTCCATAAATGCAACATGACAGTTTTGGCCAGTTTGCAGGTATCTTAAAGAAGCAACTGTTCCAGCCATAAATCTGGAAAATCTGGTTGTGAGGCCATTTTTAAACAATTTGAAGTCATTCTACTGTGGAAAACATAATGTGGTCATTATGTACCTTATTGGTGTATCCATGATGCACAAGGCTGGTTGTGTTCATGTTTCTTCCAAGGAAATATCAGGAATACATAAAAACATTTCAGCACTTTGCCTTTTTGTGTGATTCTAAGATAGCACTACACTACAATTAAGACCCTTGGAGATGTTTTAGAGAGAACTATATGAGGAGGAACCAGTCACTTGGAAGCAATAACAGCAAACTAAAATGCTTTTAGTAGAAACCATTGAATTTGTATCACACTGTTATAATGCTAAACTTTGGTTAGCTTGACAAGATCAAATTAAGACCACTGATCAACTAGAAGCAAAAAAATTCTTTCTGCTGTTTCTTTGCTAAGGACTGCGAATTAGTGGGTGCTCCTAAGCACTACTGTCCATGGGTTTTATGGTGTGTACTTAGTATAATGTAAAATGCCAGGACCGCTCTGCATCAAAAGAGAAAAAAACTGGATGCACAGGCTTATGATTTTCTTTTTCTGACTTTGACTTTACAAAAACACAAAGCACATTTCCTCCATCAGATACAAAGATGTACTACAAACCCTTTACAGCACCCTGTTTTACTGTCTATATACACTCAATATATCTGGTTGTTCAGTCTGACGTCACTAGCCGTGTCTGGGTCTAAACTCCGCTGCAGGTCCATATATCAAACGATCACTATGGCATTACTGAGAGTTGAAAAACTGTCTAAAGTCTTTCATCTTTAATAAAATGATCAGCGTTCTGCTCTACCAGGTGTAACAATTGAGTTTAACATCCAGGCATCCATGAAAACGGAATTTATGACATTTAACGGAGTTAGAAGTTAGCAGGGAGTTAGCTCGCTAGCTTCTATCTAAATACAATATAGCATGTCCTGACTGCGGGGTTTTGGAAACAAATTAAAACGTACAGTTCTGTTATCACTTCCAACATAAATGAAGACAGAAAACGAAACAGCAGTGATGTTTGTAGGGTTACTGAAGTTGGGCTAGCTGGTATATAATGATGTGCTACGTGACCGCTAGCGACACAGCTATGTTAGCATAATATGAACAAGCTAACTTTTTTTCCACTCGATAAAAGTTAACGTGAGTGTTCTCGGTGGTCAGGAACAAATGTAATCGCATGGCAGGACGCTGTAAAAGGACCAAACTTAAGCCAGGAGAACAACTGAGATAATCCATCCACAATACGAGGTTAGTCATTCATATACTGCTGCATGGGCTGGGCTGTAGTTACATCCTAAGGTTTTAAAAACTGAGCTTAAATAAATGATTAGCGGTAATAAAAGCCGAGGGAGGTCAGCAGTGATCACTGACTGTTTTAGGAGCTTTTTGAGATCAAATATAAGAAAATACATAACATTAAACATGTTAACAACACAAAAGCCATATTAAACGCAGACTACTTTAGACCCGGAAGTAGGATTCGTCGCGTCATCACTGAACAACCGGATACTCATTTAATAAAAGTAAAGATGGCAACACTTGTAAATATCTAAAGGTGAGCTATTGTGCTCACTTCCAGCATCATGATTTTACTCTTGTATTCTTCAGTAGCTGGGAATGATTCACAAATCAATAATCCTTAGTTATTTTATCCTGGGACTTTGGTTGGTCGTTGGCTGAAACAAGCTGTTTTACTTCTTCTCCCTGTACGGGCATAATCGCTTCAGGCTAACTTTATACTCGCTGTCCTGGTAAAGAAATGGTTTACCAGTAAATAAGCGGGTCTCCAGTGCTTACAAGGTGAGCTGTGTGACTTGACCGTATGAAGGGTATCACATTTATAACATCACAAGCAGCCAAAAGAAGGAGAAAATGTGTGAAACAAACATCTCACTTAAAGCAGGATGTGAAAATAGATGTGTCTAAAGATAATGTAAAAAAGCCACATAAATAAGCTATTACGTGTTGACTCAAGGCTCAAAGCCTGAGGGCTGAACTGTGTGACACTGTTTCCAAGCTCATTCATTTCAAAGTATACATGAAGCAACAATGAGGCAGCAAGTAATATAAAAAACATAAACACTAAAGAAATACATGAAAACACACAACATATACTTTAGCTAGACAATCTCAACATGACTCCTGTTTTTCTGTGCTACATATTTTTCCTACACTGGAGGGAAAAACACAATCCATAAGACTTTGTCTCTACAAAGAGGAAGAGTGCAAAGTAAATGTTAAATAAAAAGAAGACTGTTCAGCTTTATCTGGGAGGATAATCCTTCTCATAACATCCAGTCATTAGACTGTTATTAAAGCTAATGCTCTTAAGTATGAGGGTTGATTATACAGTAGGTGCAACACTTAAAAATAAACAAACTCTTCTCGCACAACAATATACCCACAGTGCATTTCAGCTGAGTGTTTTAGCTGAGGCATTAGCTATATTTAGGGGGCATGTATTGAAGCTTGTCTTACAAGTGTTAGCGGATTGCGAATCAAAAAGTGAGGGGGAAAATCCATCAAAGCAGCAAAGATTTGCTGCCTCAGCGGGACGTGTGAGAATCGAAATAAAATTCATGCTAACGTTGCTCTGTGACAAGAGCTTTAAAAATCCCCAACCAAGAGGCGGTGTTTGATTAAACTGGAGACGATCCCTCAGAAACAATGGGCCAATGAAAACACAGTTGGCAGCGATGTCAATGTGGCAAACGCAGAAGGACTTTTTCATGACAGCGGCTTCATCAGCTTTTCATATTGTTGGGTTTTTTTGAACAATGCGCGCAAGATATGAATGTGCAGCGTAAATATTATTGGCAGCCATGACTATCTGACAGCACAGATGTTGGCGTTTCTTACTTCAGCCTTTTTAGATGACACCATTGTTTCTGCAGTGCTTTCCACGACTGATTTAATAATGAGGAATATTCACTGCACACTTTCCCCCCAGATATGTCTGCTGGCTGGAAACAGAGTCCTCTGGAACATTATTCAGTGTGCGCAACTAAAACTCTGTGAAGACAAATTAAATCTCTATGCCCTAAAGTAGGAAGAAGGAGGTGGGAAAAAACATCAAGCACACAGGCATGCTTGAATTACAAGTTTCACCAAAAAATATTAATAAAATTGAAATTTAAAATAACAAAACCAATCTACTGTGTTTTTATCATGCATGTTTTTTTGGTTGCAACATCCTCCCAGACAGTCTTGGCAACAATGTTTGCACTACAGCTGGGGGATGAATTTAACTACATAACAAGAATCATCCATAATTCACATTAAGAGCATCACTGCTGCTTTATTCATGTGGATATGTACATGTACTCATTTCAATGAATTATCTTATAGGCTGCTGCAAAGCCTCAACAAAGATGGAACACATCAGCGCTTCAGCACTGTCACCATGGGTGGACTTTAACTGTTACTGGCCAGTTTGAGCAGCATATTTTTAGATGTAAGAGCAAATTTACATTTAAATTAATATTAAAGACAACACAAAGGAAGTTGAAGATTTGAGTAAATGTATGTGCTTAAGCCAAAGTCTAATAGAGGCCTTTTGCTGAGGACTGATGTCACCGTGACTGGATGAGAATAAATGTGGAGATTGACAGGAGCAAAAATTAAACAAAGAAGATCACCTTACTGTTACAGCAGAACAAAGGCTAATCATATTTGGCAGTAGTGACTGCTATCGCTAGGTCAATATTGAACCATTCATTTATATATCCAGCAGAATACCAGTCACCTGACTTTGCAGTGCATGCGGGAAACTTTACATTGCTGAGAAGACAAAAAAGCTTGCCTACACAATTCCCAGTCTCTTAAATAAAATAAAAATGTAATAGCACTTGTGTTTTCCTAATTCTCAGTTTGGTTCCTGTTCATATTTTGCTGTTCTCTTCCCCCTGTCTCTAGTGTTTCATGTTTCCCTCCATGTGTTTGCTTCTTCCATATATTTGTCTCTTTTTTGTACTAGTTTTTGTCTTTTCTCACCTTTATTACTGTCTGCTCTGCCTTAATTGTATTCACCTGTTCATGTTAGCTTGCTCTGTTATGTCTGTATTTCTTTCTTTGTGCTCTTTATCCCATGTGTCATTTCGTTGTGCCATGGATAATCCCTCATTTGTTTTTACTTTCTGCTGTGCTTTGCTTTGTTTAGTATGTGTGTGTGTGTGTGTGTGTGTGTGTGTGTTGACTTTTGATTTGGTGAAATCATATTGTTCAGTAAAGCTTGCTCTTAGTTTTGCATA